GCTAACGCTTTGACCATGTTCGCTTTAGCTCCTTATGCCTCAAACCCGACAATACCTTGCTTGCTGGCGTGACTGCAAACAACTTGTTTTGTGATTATTTTGTCCAGGACAGTTTCAGGTTTGCAGTTTCGCCCATATACCCTTTACATACCTCTTATGTCACCCTCAATGTCCTTATAGACCCCTGATAGAAGCCTTATGTAAGATACCTGACCTGGAAACTCCCGTCCTCAAAGTTGTTTTAATTTTGTTTCCTCAGGCCGTCGAGTCACTGTTTGTGCTCCGAGCAAGTCAAGATTTTGCAAGTGTTTAGGGGAACATCGAAGTCTCTTACGTTCCACAGATTACTACCCAACATAGTCATTTATGGTTGCGGCGCCAGTTTCTCAGCGATTTTCGTCTTACTTGCAACAAAGAAGGTTCTTGTCTGCGCCGAGGTGACAGGTTGAGGTAGGTTGACCGGCCAAGAAAAACGGGGTTTCCAACGTTTTTCGAGTGGAAGCTGTCCTGGAGTCGCAAATCTCCCATAGAAATGAAACCACCACCGTCACGCCCAGCCGAGCAGTCTGAAATCCATAGGGATGCTCCATCTTTCAGCTGCAGGCCAAGCATGACCCCGAAGCCCCCAGCATCCACGGTGGCATGGGTGTCTCGTAGTGAAATGGAAGACCCATCCTGCGCCAACCGGCCCTACTCCAAATCAGTTCAGTCGCAAACCGAAGCGGTGCTGGAAATATCGCAAGATTCACATGCTGGACACATGTTGGGCAGGTTCACACTTCAAGTTTCGTGGTTTATGTTTCGGAAGACCCCCGTCCACGACAGCCGATCCATTCACGAAGAAGCCTCCACCATCACCACTTGCAGAACTTCCAGAGATGGACAAGTTCGAGCCTTGCGAGAGTGTCCTTTGCAACCAAAGGGTGTAAGAATCTTAAGCGCAAGATGCCAAAACACTGCCAGAACGGGGCAGAGGACTGCACACGCAGACCAGCCGGATGTGCTCTTAGCTTATCTCAACCTAACGGCCTAAGACGACAGGAATTGGCCGTCCAGGCGCAGGTTGTCCGCATAGAAGCCACCCCCAACCTGCGCCCTTGTCGTCCCCTCCACCTGCAGCTCAGCTTTTAAACATCAAGGACTTCAGAACCCTACGGCAAGGGGCCGTCAAACTCGATCTCCTCAGCGTCACGGTGCCGGCTGAGAAGGCGCCGCCGTGCTCCACCTCGCTTGTCTGATTGTGGGACATCAGGACCTCCGCATCATGGGTTTTGGATTGAGGGCTGGGGGTTTGGGATTGGGTTGCGTCGCAGTTGTTTGAACGCCACGCCCACGTTGCTCAGCGCCCTCCCCAAAGCAACCCAGCAGAATTCAGGAATTCCGAGACACGACATGATACTAACTGTAGTTCATTAGGGTCTGTGGGGGAGCCCCAAAATGGGAAAAACGCACATTTGGGCCAGGCAGCTGTTAAATTTGACCTCCTGATTGTGGCGACACTGCCAGCAGAGAAAGCTCCGCCCTCCTCAGTGGTCTCATTGCCCGACATCAGCACCTGCGCATCTTCCAACGTCAGGGACCTTAGGCGCCAGAGTTCCCGAGCCCCCAACCCTCAACCCTCAGCCCTACAAACCCCTACACCCCTAAGCCCTTAACCCTCAACCCCATCCGAGGGGCCCGGTGAGTTGCAGGCGCAAGGATTCGAGGCGCAGCTGGCCGGTCAGGAAAATTTCGCCGCCCACCAAACTTTGACCGTTGCCCAGCAGCGACGCAGCCTGGCCAAAGCCCCTCAAACAAGGAATTCACTTTTTTTGCATCCAGGTCTCGTAGGCTCAAACGAGGAATGCGCCTGAAATCCGAATTTCTAGGTTGAGGGCTTGGGGAGTATACCACCTACTTGTTCAGTTCCCTGAGCCTAACCCTAAATCGTATAGCCTACTTTCCAAGTTCCCCGAGGCCCGAGATGATGC